AACTTTCATGCTTCAATTGAGTTTCTAAACTCACATGCAACTTAAAAAACAAACATTCTAGCTTCCCTCACCTGAAGATTGGCTCAAAATAGCCAATAACTGAGAAGAAGTAGAATTCCCTTCCGAAGCTCAACCCGAAACTTCAATCATCCCAAAGCAAGCTTCCTAATCCGAATTTCAAGAAAAGACAAAAGGCATTAGTGATCTAAAGGAGAAAAGGAATCATACAGAGAAATTTGGGAGAGAAAGGAGCTCACAGACCCAGAGTCCTTCACTCTAAAACTTCTCTCTAAAAACTTCACTTTCTCCTCAACCACACAACCCCTATTTATGGAAGTTCAGGAGTGGCCAGAACGGCCTGTTCCGAATTCAGAACGGCCCGTTCTGCACCCCTTCATCATGTGCAAAAATCACATGCAGAATGACCCGTTCTGAAACCAGAACAGCCCGTTCTGGGATTCATCTAGAATGACCCGTTCTCCATCCAGAACAGCGCGTACTCCCTCCAGAACGCCCCGTACTCCCTCCAGAACGTCCCGTACTCCCTCCAGAATGGCTCGTACTCCATCCAGATCGGCCCGTTCTCAACTATAATTTACAGGTCAATTTAGTAGTTTGGAACGGCCCGTTCCAAATTGGGAACAGTCCGTTCTAGGCTACTAAATCACCCATATTGGGCTTTTGGGCCTTTTGAAATAACTTACTATGTTACAGGAATCTTTGGGTTTAGTTAGGCTACATCTAGGTGCATGATAAGACCATGCAACCTTTGCCCTCCACTTGGGCCTAAGCCTTTCTATGTCCAAAAATAGGTCCAAACACCACCAAAAATGCGTCTAGCTCCCTAATTAAATACCTTAGCCCAAAAATTAAAAACCTATGATCTAAAGCACCCCAAAATACAAGGGTAAAATGGGAAATACAAAAGAAATTAAATCCTATGACTAAGATACCCCATAATACAAGGGTAAAATGGGAAATAAAAAAGAAAATAAATCCTATGTCTAAGATACCCAAAATACAAGGGTGAAAATGGGAAATTTAAAGATAAGGGCAAAATAGGAATAAATTTTATACTAATAAAAACGTAGGAGCTAAGGCCCAAAAGTAGGCCCACTCCTCTTAGGTTTTCAAAACTAACCCATTCCTCTTGCCTCTTTCAAAATATCACCTCTTGGTCTTCTTGGCCTTAGTGTGATTCCATCAAGTATTCTTACACCACTTCTGGTTCAAGTATTCTCGACCACTTCTGGCCTGTCGGCTTCACTCACCAACGCTAGTATTCTTAAACCACTTATGGTTCTCCAAGTATTCTCGACCACTCCTAGCCCATCGGCTTCACTCACCAACACTAGTATTTTCTTATCAGCCACTTCTGACTAGCAGTGAGTATTCTTTGACAAGCCTCTTTGGGCTTTACAAGTATTCTTTCCTTAGCCTCTTCAGGCTTTACTACATTGTTGGAGTATGTTTGGTTTGAGTGTATACATAACTCTCACAGAGAGGATAGGGAATTTCTACACTCACTAAGGTTTGCTACCTTAGTCTTACAGAGACTCGTGTTTGAGTGTTTGGGTTACTCTTATGGAGAGGATACATAGGTTTACACCACTCACTAAGATTTTGTCTATTACTGACATTTTGAACACCTTAGTCTACAGAGATACGAATACAATACTACATTGTGCATATGACTATAAATGTTCATCTCTGATGTCTCTGTTTCATGGGCTGAATATAGTTCCTCTTCATGCTTACCCCAATTTTTGGGTTGAAGTAGCCAACCTTTAAGGCTTGAAGTTGAGGTTTATATAGTCTTGGGATTTCTACCCGTTGCATATGTCCGTTGAAACAGATATAATCGTTTATGACTAGTTTAATCTTCTCATTTAATGCTCTGATCCTTGCATTAAATGTTGCTTCCTATTTATAGACAATGAGTGAAGTTTTCCTGCTCAATTGGTAGTTGTATCCGTGTGTAGCAAAGTCCTAGGAAACTTTTGTCCTTTCTTTGATCCTATAGTTGTGGAGCTTTTGTCCTTGCTTGAAAAAGTGATGTACTTTTTCTTACATATGCATGATTTAGCATTTGAGCATACTCTTCTTCTTTCTTCCTTTCTTCTAACAATTCAAATGTCTTCGTGTGTTCTTCTGTGAGTGTAGACGATATTCACAGTTTCTTTTGAACCATGATTTCTCAGGTGATTGTGTGTCGTTCTTCGTCTGCGTTTGGTAGTCAACATGTAGTATAATGTCTTGACCTTTTTTCTGATCAGCATTTTGAATTTTCTTCCATCTTGGTCAACTTTGTATATGATCAGACTTTGCATTATCTTCCATCTGAGTCTTTATGTGCTTGTGTTGGCTTTCCGTCTTGTACCATCGGATGCTTATGCCACTTTGTACCTGTTCTTATGTTTTTTTGAAACACTAACTCACTTGTTAGAGATAACAACACATATTATATTTGTCTTACTCAAAAACTCTTCGGGAATGTCTTCTTCTGACTTAACAAGTTAAAGTTATAAGAAAGTAATTTGAAAATCACTAAAAGAGGTATAATTAGAAAACTTAATTCACCCCCTCTTAAGTTGTTTGAGGCTACTTGTCTAACAACAGGAACTTTTAACTTGAAGAGGATTAAAAAGAGTAATCATAAAACATATATATATATATATACACATTGAGACTCAGGTTTGTCATGAAAATTATGACTAAGCAAAGAGACAGCTATTAGCAAATGATTCTAAGACTCAAGTTTATCATGATATATACACACATCCATATACAAGCATATAATTCCCTTCTGCATTACTATTTTTCATCGAAGTTCTCCAAAATTAATTGATTCTTGTGCAAACAGACATACAATTGGGTCTAAGTTGTATACTTGCCCCTATGTGAGAGTTATGCAAATATAATAATGTGTTTAAAATATGTAATATTGAATAAAATATAACTAATAGTAGAAACCAACTAGATGCAAAATATCTAATTTACTTTTGCTTGAGTGTTGGTTTTGTTGGATTTTTCTTTCAACCCACACCCACCCGAAGTTACCCATATTAGACTAATTATTTTAATCTTTTAACCCATAAGTTAATACCAACTCACCTACATTGCATCTTATGATGAAAGGTGCTTTGGGTTATGGTTGGGTGAGTAAATTTTGTTCACCCTTACTCTACAACCATGTGGTACCAATCTCAAACATTGTCAAAATTTTCTCCAACAAGGTAGTGTAAGAGTCATGGATTGGATCACCACACACTGAGTGATCCTCTCAATCCATGCTTGACTAGGAGATATCTACTGGGATCCAATTGAATCATTAATGTCGATCGTGGTTGCCCCTCCATACTCATTAGGGACTCCTTACCATAACATCCTCATGGTCTAGGTAAATGACCATAAAAACCCTCTTCTATATATTCACACTATCAGACCAAAGAAAATATGCTTGTTATCTATGCACTCCACACAATTAACTCGAAGCAATAACAATAACAATGCAATGTCCCAACAACTTATTAGAGCTCCCTATCTAGACTTCTCCACAATATACCAAGCTTTTCCTGAATTTCACCATTCTTAAGCCTTTACCTGGACTTATTCATTTCATCATCATCGTCGTCATCATCACATCATCATCATCATTGTCATCAATTATTTATTAACATTCATCATTATCATCAATTATTTATTAACATTCATCATTATCATCATACACTTATCATCACACACTTACTATCTATTTCCATCATATACACACTCCCTTTCTATCTTTACTCAAATATAGTTATATAGTTATCCCTTATTCACACTCTCGTATTTTGTTTTCTTTACTTGACAAACCATGATTACGTACTCATTTGATCTCTTCTTTTGATTCTAATATCATTACTCCTCGTAGGTTCCTCTACTACTCATTATTCTTTAAACTAAATTTAGTTTCAACATTGATGCAGTGCTCATTTAGGAATTACTCGCGCTTAATGCGACAAGGTCAAGGACGTCTTTATCACGTTCACGCCTAGTGTGAAGAGATCAGGGGCTTCTTTATCTTAATCATGCTCGGAGGGGTTATGTTATGCCTAGTGCTAAGAAGTTAGAACTTTGGAACAATTATGCTTATTGTGTGATCTTGGTCATGTCTAACATCATCTTTATTGAAAATGACATCAAGCAGTGCTAGGCGAGACACCATTTTCCCAACACAAAAAAAGCCAAAGACCTTTCTAACATTTTTGCACGCGAGATGGCTTTCTTTATGCCCAGTGCAAAGAATTGTGTTTCCTTTGCATGCACTATAATGATTTAGATCAAACTGGTAAAAAACACTTATCCTTTTTTTTTCTTCTATTTTTAATAAGTCTTTGAGTTGGACTCAAGAGTCCAACCCAAGACTTCTCTTTTAACCCACTCCCTATTTCTTTTTATTTATTAAAAATAATTTATTTATATTATAAATCCAATTAATTTAATTAATTAAGTTTATAATATAATTTATTTAAACGGCATTTTTTTATTTCTAAAAAAGGGAATGTTACACTATCTAGATATCTTGTTTCGTTGAAGCAACCTACCTTTCTTAATAGGAAGATACTTTTTGAAAATTGTATTTAGTTATTGATTTGATTGTATAAAACTTAAAAAATATAAATAAACCTTATAGAAATAAGCACATGAATTTTATTTTATTTTCTTTTCGAATGAAAGCTCAAGTGCACAAGCATTGTATTAATTCCTACTATATTATATTTATTTCATAGCCTTATTCAACTTATTTCATCTTCATAACATATCAACATAAAATGTTTTCTATTCATTTATCATATTATAAGAAATATTACATATAGTGACATATAAAAAGTGTCACTATAGATAGAATATATGTATGTATAAATCTATTTGACATATAGTTACACATAATTTTATTGTTAATTTTGAATGAAATTCAACAACATATATTATGTATCACTATAACTTATACCTACAATTTTTAACAATATTCCAAGATATTTTGTATTCATAGTGTAGATAAAATTAATTCTTAATAACAAGTATTGTGTCATTATAGGATGTATATGACTACATGAAAAAAAATTTGTAGTGTTAATATCTTCATAATCAGTATTGAAAAAGAAAACTCAAAATGTTCTAACTTTTTTAAGTTAAATAAAATGGTTATTTACACTACAAGGAAAACCACGTGGATCATGTTGACCGTCATCATTCAACTAATCTTGGCCTTTTATTTTGCCAGTTCTTCCCCAAGATTGCAAACACCAAAAATGTTCAGTCCACTGGGGATTTATTATGGAGTTAGGCTCTAACCTCTTAAATTGCTTCCAATCACGAAGAACTGCCTTTAAATCTGTCACCTTCGCAGTAATGCTCCTACAACAGTTAGCATGGACAATGGTGACTGCTCTAAAATCTTTGCTATCTTGACAAAATCCACTAAAATAAAGGGTGTCCAAATACCTAACCCTAATTCCCAACTCTCCAATTATACCACTTCTAAAGAGGTCAAGAAGCACATCTTGCTCTTTTTTTCCTATGGCATTGTCCTTTTGGCCATACCATGTTTCAAATAGGGATATGGTCTTGTTGTTTGATCTCACAAAGTAAAATCCAGTATTGATTAGATGTTTTTCTGACCATGGATCACCAAGGTAAATGTCAGTGCTGATTTGAAGATCTTCTGTCTCGCTTTTGCTTAACCTTGTAAATGGATTCCTTAACCACATTACATCAGTATCCTGTAAAAGAAAGATGTTGCATGTGAATTTGAGAGAATGAAAGTTAAGAAGAAAATTTAATGCCCAATGAAAAGAGTGGATAAACTACTAAGGTTCATGATTAATTAATGATAATGAGTTTCAATTTAATGATAATTTATAAAATTTTAAAATTAAAATAATTTACTTAATAAAAATATTATTTTACTAAATTATTTATAAATATTTCATAAAAAATAATTTTAATTTAAAATAATAATAAATTAAATATTTATTTTAATTAAATGTATAAATTAATGATGATGAGTTTTAATTTAATGATAATTTTTAAAATAAAATTATTTAATAAAAAAACTATTTTTTTTAGAATATTAAATACTTTAAGAGTTAAAATAGTTTATAATAATATAATTTTATTGTTGAATATAATGAATTAATCATTTTTCTAAAGACATAATCTAATTAATATTTAAAAAAAAATTCAAGTCCCACATCAATTGGAAATAAAACAATTAAAGAGTATATAAGTTGGGGCAACATTTACCTTACAAGTTGATTTGTGTGGTTGAATGTTAGACTTATAATATACAATCTAAGAGTTTAAAAGGTTATGTATCACATGGTAGAGGCGTGAAAGCATACTTCATTTGAAAGTTGAAGAATTTATAGTAATTTCTTTGATTTTTTTCGTAAGAAATTTTCCTACAGATTTTTTTGCGAAAAATTCGCAGAAAACTTTCCTACAAATTTTTTTCGAGGAAACTTTCTTGCAAATTTTTTCTTGCATAATTTCTTGCGAATTTTAAAATTCGCAAAAACATATTATCCATGAAAATATTACCTGAAGATAAAATTTCACATAGAAATTCATAGGAATGATCACTACTAGAATTTCTCTTATTACATGCGAATTTTCCTGCAAATTTTTATGAAAAATTTGCAGGAAACGTTGTTCCTGCAAATTTTCCTGTGAAATTTTATCTGTAGGTAATACCTTCGTGGATAATATTTTTTTTGCGAATTTTAAAATTCACAAGAAAGTTTCTTGCAAAATTTCTTGCGAAAAAAATTTGCAGGAAAGTTTCCTGCAAAAAAAAATTCGCAGGAAAGTTTCCTGCGAATTTTTTCGCAATAAATTTTGCAGGAAAATTTTTTACGAAAAAATTAAAGAAATTACTATAAATTCTATCAATAATTTTTCAACTTTCAAATGCTCACAATGAATTCATCCGAAGCATAATCTTTTAAATTCTAAGATTGTAGATTATAAGTCTAACACTCAACCATATAAATTAACTTGTAAGGTAAGTGTTGCCCCAACTTATATACTCTTTAATTGCTTTATTTTCAACCGATGTGGGACTTTAAGTTTTTTTAAAATATTAAAATTATAAATTTAAATATATTTTTTTTATTTTTCCTGTGGATTAAAATTTGCAGGAAAAGTTACCTGCAAAATTTTTCTACCATTTAGTAAACATTACTTGGGAATTTATTTTTGCAAGAAAATCTGCAAGAAACAAAATAAAATTCTTACAATATTTTCTGCAAATTTTTACCATGGAAAAAAATTTCTATGATTATTAAAATTGTAGCAAAATTTGTAAGAAATATCTGTAAATTATTTTTCGCAAATAAATTCGCAAAAAATTTCTGCGAATATAATTTGCAGGAAAATTCGCAAAAAAATTCTACAAATATTTTTTTGCAAGAAAATTCGCAAAAAATTTCTGCGAATATTTTTTTGCAAGAAAATGACATTTTTCTAGTAATGGATGTTTGCTGCAAATTTGTATATAAAATTTGCATAAAAAATCATATGTAATAAGAGAAAATCTAGTAGTGTTATTCTATTTGTTGGTTCGGACATATGCATGGACCAGCTTATATAATTGTTGTAATATGTGGGAAGGGATAATGAGAATTATGAAAGTTCATCTCTTCTCATCTTTAATTCTTTTGGCGATTCTCTGCACTTGAAATCAGAGACATATCACAAATCACCTTGTAAATGGATTTCTTGACTACGTTACATCAGTGTCTGATGTTGCATGTATTGGAGAGATAAATGCTAATTAACATGATGCAATTTTACATTCAACCTTGTGTAACTAGTACTTAAGATTCTTAAATCAACTATGACATGTTTTCATTTGATAATTATTTTTCTCTCTTTAACATTAGCATATCATATTACTTAATAAAAAAAAACAAATTTTCAGGATTTTAATATTTTATTTATTTATGAAATTGTTGTTTTCTTTATTATTAAAACTCAACTCCCATACATACTCTGATGTTATTCATATATAAAACCACAATCTTAAAGGCTAAGCAAAAGACTTGCTTTTACAGCTAAAGACATCTAAATATAATTAATTATTAATGGATAAGAAATTTTATTAAATAAGAAAATAAGTATCTAAAAAGTTTTATTCACCAACTTTACTGAAGTCTAATATCTATTGTAAGATCTAATTGATCACCTTATTTAATAAGATTTATCTTTATCTCATTTCTTAAATTCTCTTCAATTAATATTTAATCACAAAACGAAGATGAGCTCTGCTAGGATTTCTGAAGGTGAGGAAGAAGATGTGATGCAACACTGCACCAAGAAAGTCAAAACGAAGAATGGAGAGGTGACATTGGACTCAACTATGAATGACCAATTGGTTTCCTCCCCTCTAGGAGATGGTTCGAAACACTCTTATGCTGAAAGCGTTATGGTGACCGATGGTGGGAGACTCTTCACAAACTATAAAGCCCTGTTGAAAGAGATGGAGGATTTTGAAAAGGTTCTTGCTGATGACGAGGTTTATCCTGAGGATGAGACATGTGAGCATGATCCGTGCCCAACTATTAATGTTTCCCAAGAGGAATTTGAAGAGTGGTGCTCCCCTTGGAAGAACACGCTAATCATTCATGTTCTGGGTAAGCGCATATCCTTCAAAGCCTTAGAAAATAAAATTAATCACGACTGGATCAAGATAGGATCGATGAGTATGATTGATATACCAAACGACTACTTCCTGGTCCAATTCTCTTCTGAGGAAGATTATAGACATGCTTTGTATGAAGGCCCTTGGATGATTGCTGATCATTATATTTTGGTTCAACGGTGGAGACCGTTCTTCACTGCTACTTCATCCCAAACAAGAAAGGTCGCTGATTGGATAAGAATTCTTGGTTTACCCATCGAACTCTTTAATGACCGTTTCTTGTGGCGTGTGGTAAACAAACTGTGATCAATGTTAAAGATAGATAAGTTAACCTTTCTTCACTCCAGAGGAAAATTTGCAAGGATTTGCGTGGAGATCAACTTAAATAAGAAGCTTGTTTCTATGATCAATGTCATGGGCCACATCATCAAATTGGAATATGAGGGTTTGCATGCGATATGCTTCAAATGTGGGAAATATGGGCATAGATAGGAGCAATGTGTTACTCTAGTAAACCAGTTTTCTAGTTCTGTTACTGAAAGTAAAACACAAAGTATGAGTGCCATGGAAGTGGACGATGGTGAAAAGGACGTATCAACACCACCCACACTGGTTAGGGAGGAACACTCACGGGTTGAGGATGATACGAAGATCTCGGAAGCAAAATTATCTTCCCCAGATTCTAAGGCAACCTACGGGCCATGGATGATTGTAAAACGTGGGAAAAAATCAAGCAAGCATTATCATAATCAGAATTTCAAAAATGTCAATATCCATTCACAGGATTCACAGATCTATCCAGGTATGGTCTCTAACCAACTCCATAATGGTTTGATTACGCCACATCAGCCAGTTGATGGGACTCTTTCTCCTGAGAATACCCACGTGGAAATTCCCATGCAGCCCATGCACATGGATAAGACCAACATTAACGTACCTATCACGAAACAAACTGCCAGAGTTCATAATCCCAAGGCAGGTAAAAACCCACAACCTGCACGGGGTCAAGGAAATCCATCTAATGGAGGGCAACCTCTCTTAAAAATAGGCCAAAGTAGCCTAGTTAAGAATCGACTAGCTGAGGGAAACCAAAAAGATAATGTCTCGTCTCTACATCCTACTCTAGCAATCAAGGGGTCAACATCCTCTAGACCCTCTGACAAGGTATTGGATCAGCAAGAGAATTCCAAAAAAGTTCTGGATGGTCTACGTTCCATAAATACAATAACAAACTCAAAGCTTTTCACGAAAAATACCTTATCTCAGGTGGTTTTACCAGATGTAGAAACCCAGGCATTTGCAAATGCAATGAGATTACACCTCGACCCTACTTACAGCAACAGGGTTAGTAACTCTAGCTTTCATAGCTTAAGGACAAATGAATGTGATGAAGTAGAAGGGATTTCCAATCCAAGCAACTCCAACAGGTCATCATGAATTTTTTAAGTTGGAACTGTAAGGGTGCCGGAAGTCGTGGCTTTTCGACATTAATGAATGCTATCATTAGTGAATACAATGTTGGACTACTATGTCTTATGGAAACACATATTAGCGATGACAATGCTTTAAAGGTAGCACGTCGAATTAATCTTAATGAATACTCTATGGTTCCGGCACAAGGTCATGCGGGTGGATTATGGTGCATGTGGGGTTCAAGGAAGTGGCAGATCGAAGTTAAAAAGCAATCTAATCACTTTATTCATCTCCAGATTCAAGCTGAGCGGTCAACTTGGTATTGTACTATGGTTTATGTAAGCCCTCACCCTCAGGGTCGGGTACAACTTTGGAGAGACTTAATTTGCATTGCAGACCATATTGAAGGACCCTAGATGTTTAGTTGTACTCTATTCTCATGAAAGAGTAGGGGGAGTTGGGACTTCTTGTATTAGAGGAGATAATTCATTTCGAGCCTGTGTCCCAACAATGCAACCTTGTAGACCTAAGTTTTATCGGTGCTCCTTACACATGGCGTCGAAGAAGACTATTTGAACGACTTGACAGAGCTTTAGCCTCCTATGATTGGCGTATCTTATTTCCTGAGGCTTCTCTCTCTCACCTAAATCCTCTAAAATCATATCACTCTCCCATTTTGCTAAGGTTATTTCCTGAAAGGCTTGAACGTCCCACTAGAAGACCCTTTCGCTTTGAGGCGGCATGGCTTACCCATGAGGGTTTTTCTGATACAATGCGACATGAATGGAATGTCCACCAACCCTGGAATCAACGGGTAAATCACACAAAACAGTCATTACTGGAGTGGAACAAGTCCACTTTTGGGAATATTTTCTATGCTAAGCGTAGACTCCTTAGGCGCCTACAAGGGATTACTCGTGAGCTTCGTCTCGGCAACAACATCTTTTTGGAACAACTACAAGCTGAATTATGGGCAGAGTTGGATCTAATCTTCAAACGGGAGGAAATTCTTTGGTTTCAGAAATCTCGATGTAATTGGTTAAAGCTGGGTGATAGAAACACATGCTATTTTCATGGCTCAACAATAGTACGAAGGAGGAAAAGAAGAATTATGAAGCTTATGAATGACAATGATGACTGGATTACCCACAAGGATGAGTTAGAAAGTATGGTTACTAAATTTTACAAAAACTTATTCAATGACACAGAGGATGATGAACCCTTTTGTCTATCAAATGCCTTTCCTCGACTAGATGATGATGATTTAAGCCTTATTGGTGCGCCCATTAAAAACGATGAGATTTTCTCTGCTGTAAAAAGCATGGGAGGATTTAAAGCGCCTGGCCCGGATGGTTTGCAGGCAATATTCTATCAAACTCAGTGGAACACAGTGGGCAGTGCTGTTTACCAACTCATTCATGAAATTGAAGCAGACCCAACGAAGGTAGCTGATATTAATGAAACCTTAATTGTGTTAATCCCAAAAGTAGATGCAGTCACCTATTTAAAACAAATGCGCCCTATCATCCTTTGTAATGTTTCCTACATGATCCTGACCAAAGTTCTTGCTTAGAGATTGAGGCAAGTAATGGAAAACTTAGTTCACCCTAATCAATGCAGCTTTATCCCAGTAAAGATAATATCATCATTTTCCAAGAAGTCATTCACTCTATGAGATATAAATCGGGTAACTTAGGGTGGATGACTATCAAAATCGATCTTGAAAAAGCTTATGATAGATTGAAGTGGAATTTTGTGAACGAAACATTACTAGATATAGGCTTTCCCCAGAATTTTATGAACCTTATAATCCTGATTTAAAAGTCTTGCAGAATCCATTAAAATCTTGATTTTAAGTCTTGTAGAATCCTGCAAAATCTTAAAAGTCATGAAAATCCTGAAAAATCTTTTAAAATTTGCAAGATTTTTTCTAACTAAAAAAATCCTTTAAAATCCTAATCCAATACACCCCCCCCCCTCCCTTAACCTCAAGGCACACAACTTTCTAGATATGTTGATTAAATAAAGTAGGGGATAAAATTACAAACAAGCCATTATTTTAAAATAATTTACTAAAATGGGTACTACTAGAATTTCTTTTATTACATGCGATTTTTTCCGCGATTTTTTCATAAAAATTTGCAGGAAATGTTGTTCCTACAAATTTTTCTGCAAAATTTTATCTATAGGTAATACCTTTGTGGATAATATGTTTTTTAGAATTTTAAATTTTGCAAGAAATTTTCCTGCGAAATTTCTTGCGAAAAAAATTCGCAAGAAAGTTTCCTTCGAATTTTTTCGAAAGAAATTTTGCAGGAATTTTTTTTACGAAAAAATTAAAGAAATTACTACAAATTCTATCAATAATTTTTCAACTTTCAAATGCTCACACAATGAATTCATCCGAAGCATTTGTTTCCACACCTCCAACATGTGATATATAATCTTTTAAACTCTAAGATTGTAGATTATGAGTCTAACACTCAACTATACAAATCAACTTGTAAGGTAAGTGTTGCCCCAACTTATATACTCTTTAATTGATTTATTTTCAATCGATGTGCGACTTGAAGTTTTTTTAAAATATTAAACTTACACATCTAAATATTTTTTTGATTTTTCTTGTGGATTAAAATTGGCAGGAAAATCCGCAGGAAAAGTTACCTACAAAATTTTCTACTATTTAGTAAACATTACTTGCGAATTTATTTTTGTAAAAAAATCTGCAAGAAACAAAATAAAATTCTTACGATATTTTTTGCAAATTTTTACCATGAAATTTTTTTTATGATCATTAAAATTGTAGCAAAACTTGCAAAAATTTCTTGTAGATTATTTTTCATTAAAAAATTTGTAAGAAATATTTGTAAATTATTATTCGCAAATAAATTCGTAAAAAAAATTTGTAAAATTATTATTGCAAGAAAATTTGCAAAACATTTCTGCGAATATTTTTTTTTAGGAAAATTCGAAGGAAAATGACACTTTTCTAATAGTGTGGATTGTTTTCAACACATAGTACCCAAGTCACTAACACTAGTATGGTAAATAAATTCGTATATACGAGTAATTAATCTTTTTCTTTGACACAACTCTTATAAATAATGTCATTTTTCTCTTAATAAGTAATTTTTTTGAGATAATATATTATGACAATGAAGTATTTATCAATTTTATTATGGATTAATATTTGTATAAAAAAATTAAAAAAAAACTGGTTGGTTACCTTTTGTGATGTCTATTCTCTTATTACATTTTTTCTAGTAATAACTAATGGGTAAAAAAAACATTCCATTTTTTTTAGAAAAAAAAAATTACACATACATCAGTAAAGATAGTGAATGATTATTAAGAGATTAAAAAAAACTTATATTAAAAGACGTTTTTGACTTTTATTAATTATTATTATTATATATTTTTTAAAAATTATTAATAATATTGCATACATAAAAAATTAAGCATCATTTTATATATGAGTTAATCATCTATACACTATCAGTGTAAAGTTTTTTTACACTGACAATTAATTATATCTTTTAATTGTGTCATGTCACTGTTAAAAGTAAATGTGTTTATCGTGACATGACACAATTAAAAGATTTAATTGGTTACCAGTGTAAAAATACTTTACACTGACTGTGTATAGGTGATTAACTCTTTATATATAGTTAAAAGATAATCTATAAAGAAAAGGTGGAGGATAGGAGAATTACGTACCGTGAAAACAAAGTTGTAGCCACGTTTGAGAACTTCCAAGAGGAATTGAGTCCTTCTCCACATCATCTTGATGAAATCTTGAGACATGTAGATTTTCTCACCTTCAAATTCAACTCCATCTGTTTCCAATCTGTAGCAATTCAACCTTAAAAACTGACACCGATCATAAGACGTTCGATCAACCGCTACTATGAGAAGGTGATTAATGAGAGACCTTGTTCCCTCTCCAAGCCAAAAACTACTAAGAAATATATCAAGCATTGTCGTATAACTCTCTACATCTTGCTCTGCATATGCCTTATTTACTATAGCTATTATCACCGTTTTGTTTCCCATCGAGGCTTTGGCCAAAGCAAAGTCAAGGTCATCTCCATATTCTTCAATGTTGGTGGTCTATTATAAACAAATTAAAGGAAATTAAATTATAAGTAACAGAAAATAAAAATTGGTGGAAAAGTTTTAGCCAGAAAAATTAGAACAAACAAACCTCCATCTTTATGCAAAATAAAACATGACAATGGCAGCATTACTATTTTAGTTATGTATATAGGGTTGAAATTTTCAGCTAGATTACAAAGACCACCCATGATTTGTTTTGAGGCAAAAAATAAAATATGGTGATTGAACTTACAATATTTGATTGATTGCAGAATGATCCATTTCGGTTTTGGACGTATTCGTTGAACAAAGAGGAGGACAAGTGGTAAAAAAAAATAACCCCAACGAAGAGTAATGCTACCGTTGCCAAACTCCCAAGTGTTTGTTTAGGATTATCCATGATTATAAATCTCTATGCCCTTTTTGTGAGGACCCAAAACCAAAATTAAGAATCCTATATAGTATTTATATCTGTGCTTTCTGGAAGGGATGTTAAAGATAAGGCTATGGTAGAAAGTACAATGATCATATTTTAGGTTATGTTTAGATTAGCGGTAGAAAAAGAAATGAAAAGAGACAAAGTGGATGAAAAAATCATGCCATTGTTTGGTTTATAAATTTAAGGATGAGAGAGGATCGATAGAATCTATATATTTCATCTCATTCTATTATTTGATGGTATTTTTCCTTTTCTCAATTTGAAGCGCACAAGATGGAACAAAACATTCTAAGTTAAAAATGCCTATTTTGAACTTGTTACTATATAATTGTTGGCACTTCTTGGTGAAGTGTTCCTATTTCGCACCTCTTCTTCATGTGGTGCTTTTTCCGAGCACTTTGCTTCTTTAGAGCCTTTCTTCATCACGTGCTATGTGATGCTAAGTAAATCAGACTCAATTTGTTGTTATTAGTTAGATGTCACAATTTTATTATGCATTTCTAACTTGTTTTTAATTAATTTCAAAACAATTATGACGAATTACGCTTCTTTTTCTATTATTTTTTATTTTGAAGCCCTTCTTTTGCACGGTTATAGCATGTTAAGCAAATCAAATGAATAAAGTAACACAGATTAACCCACCATTCTGTCTTGAAAATTCTCTTAGGGAGAGAAGTCATATTTAGGTTGATTTTTTATTTTTTTTATTTTGTTTATAGATATGATCCATGTAATATTTATAAGTTAACAATTAAAGATTAATCTACACTAGTCAAAACGTAACTTTTATTAACCAAATATTATTATAACATTGGCGAAAATTATTTCTTAAAACACCAAAATCAACTATATTAAATGATATGATTTCATACTAAACAAAAATTGCATTCCTTGTCTTGATTTAGAAAAGGTAAGATTTGTCCACCAATGCGTGTACATGTCTTTCCCTCTAAGGTGGAATAATCCTTTGTTGATTCATTTTTACATCTCATAACTTCAACAAAACACTTAGTTCCATTCATTCTCAACGCAAGAATGCTGAATCAATTATTTATTATATGTATTTTTTTAAAGGTGAGTGCTTCTAAGCAAACCTCATCATTAACCCCAACTTTGATATATATATATATATATATATATATATATATAAAGATTAGATAAAAACTAATAATAAAATATAAAAAATATATATTAATTCAATATGACTTGCTGAACTCAATCCAATATGTATAATAAGATTTAAGTGATTTCTATTTCATTAAATATCATAAGTCAATTAAGAGGGGATATGTATGAAAAGAATACATTATAAATCTTGATCATTTCTTTTTTTAAATCTTTTGGTAGCTACGTGAGCTCTTTCCATGTGTCATAAATGGTGTACAAATACCACTACTAGAAAAGTGTTATTTTATTACGAATTTTCCTGCAAAAAAAATATTCGCATAAATTTTTTGCGAATTTTCCTACAAAAAAATATTAGCAGAAATTTTTTACAAATTTATTTGCGAAAAATAATTTACAGATATTTCTTACAAATTTTGCTACAATTTTAATGATCATATAAAAAAAATTTCATGGTAAAAATTTGCAAGTAATGTTTACTAAATGGTAGAAAATGGTAGAAAAAGATTGCAGGTAAAAATAAATTCGCAAGTAATGTTTAGTAAGTGGTAGAAAAATTTTGCAGGTAACTTTTCCTGTAGATTTTCCTGCAAATTTTAATCTGCAAAAAATATAAAAAAAAATTAAATTTATAAGTTTAATATTTTAAAAAACTTCAAGTCCCACATCGATTGAAAATAAAATAATTAAAAAGTATATAAGTTGGGGCAACACTTACCTTACAAGTTGATTTGTATGGTTGAGTGTTAGGCTTATAATCTACAATCTTAGGATTTAAAAGATTATGTATCACATGTTGGAGGCATGGAAACAAATGTTTCGGATGAATTCATTGTGAGCATTTGAAAGTTAAAGAATTACTGATAGAATTTATAGTAGTTTCTTTAATTTTTTTCATAAAAAATATTCCTGCAGAATTTCTAAGAAAATTTTTTTTTGCAGGAAACTTTCTGGCAAATTTTTTTTTGTAGGAAACTTTCTTGCAAAAATTTTTCGCAAGAAATTTCGCAGGAAAATTTCTTATGAATTTTAAAATTAGCAAAAATATATTATCCACGAAAGTATTACCTGCAGATAAAATTTCATAGAAAAATTTGTAGGAACAACGTTTCCTGCGAATTTTTCATAAAAATTCGCAGGAAAAGTCGCTAGTAATAAGATAAATTCTAATAGTGAACAAATAATCCCAAAACAAAATGCAAAATAGTTAACCATCTTTCAAGAGAAACATAATAGATTGGATTAATCATTGTAATTAGGCTACAACACCCCAATTTCATAATAAAATAAAATAAGAAATTCGTTAAGAAAATGTTTTGGGGAATTATATGTTATTTTACTTCTTTTACAATTAAAAAGGGATTAGATAAATAAAATAGGTTTTAAAAAATAAAATATCTTTTAAAGTTTATGGGCTTTTGTTCTCATAGGTCCAATAAGTTCTTTATTGACTTAAAAGAGTCTATTATGATTAAACCTAATACTCTTCTATTTTTGTTTGTCTCTCAGAACCCTCATGTCATCAAAAACACAATTTGAGGTGTAAGGATATCAAAGACTAAATCACCGTCTTGCACCCTTTGATCTTCTTTGATTTTTTGTATTAGAGTCTACTTGATGTGTGACATTGTATAGATGTGTTACCTATAGAGAAAAATGTGTGTGACGATTTTTTGGAACTCTTCTCAACAATCAGGGTAAGAAAAAAGATGGTGTGAATGCTTGTTTAAATTTTCTTAAGATGGGTATATGAGAACAATTAGCTTCACAATCTCATGGTAAGTGGACATATATTCCTTTTTTGGAGTGTCATGCGTTATCTAAAAAATAGAAGAAAAACTTTTATGAGTGTTTAAGGAACGTGAAGGTTCCCAAAGAATTACTCTTCCAAGGTCAAGAGGTTTGTATCAATGAAAGAGTCTAAACCACTTAGGTTAGAGCCTCTTGATTTTCACGTCTTCATACAACAATTACTACATGAAGCTATTTAAGACATATTGCATAAGAATGTTAGATATTCCATAACTAAATTGTGTTTCATCTTTAATGCAATAAGTAGTAAGTAACTGACCTTCAAAAGTTGGGTCAATTACAAAATGAGGCTATTGTTATTTTTTGTCAATTGAAGATGTATTTTCCTCCATCATTTTTTTTACATTTTGATTCAGTTAACTATTTATTGAGTGAGAGAGGTTAGATTTTTTGGTCCAATTTTCTTATGGCGAATGTACACAATTAATCGATACACGAAGATATTAAAAGAATATGTGTAGAACCAAAACCATCCAAAAACATCCATTGTTGACAAGTATATTGTAAAGGAGACTATTCATTTTGTACATAATACTTGTCATACTTGTCATAAGTTATAGGAGTTGGGGTATACCTAAATCCTGTCATGACGGAAGAATTATTGGTAAGGGTACTTGAAGTACAAAAGTCATGACCTTGACATGAGATGAATTTTTTCAAACACATTTTGTTTATCAGTTGAAATATTTTGTAAAGAAAAAGTATTTTTTTCAAATTATTTATATTTGTATATACAGTGTTAGATCAAAGGTATTCAATGACTCTTCAAAATTTTTATTTTAATGTTAACAAATGTGAACGTTATTGAGGCATAAAAAGATTCTATGTCAAAGATGATGTTATAATTGTAGGGAAGGATGACATTGGAAGTGAAAAATGTATAATAACCCCTCAGACTAAACATCTCATGTATCTAAAACAAATGTTTAAATATCGCATTTAATATGTTTAATATTTCTATTATCTGCTTTCATGTTAATCCTTAAAAGATTGAAGGAATAAAAATTTCTCTAGTACCCGTAATGCATAAAGGAACAATGACTTACTTTTCATCAGGAAAAAAAAAAAAGAATAAAGACAAGCAGATATCTCAAAGAATAAGAAGTCAGCCAAATGTCATTCTCAAATGACACATGCAACAAATTCTTTTCTTTTATACTATAAAAGTGATAAGTAGCCTCGTTGATCAAATAAGAAATGACTATTTGATGAAATACATTTAATGCAAATATTTGTTACACCAACTGACACCTAACTTTACAAGGAAGCAAGATGAAGTAAGACAAAACAAGATTGTAAGTGTAACTCAAGGATTTGCAACAATCATCTTCAAAATTCACCCATATAAAGAAGTTTCAACATCTCAGAATAAAGAGTAAGAACTTACAAACATATTCTTAATTCATTCTCTATACTTAATAGTTTATCACATCTTGCGTGTAAAACGTATTCATTATTACTTTACATAGCTTAATCTATAAGAACTTACCTAGCCTGAAGCTTGAAGAAGCTTTTTTGTCCAAAGAATATTTGGTGATGAAGTCTAAAGAGACATTGTTGTTAAAAGAATACTCGAATAGTTTGCTTGAAGAGGCAAATCAAATAACACTTAGGTTGAGCCAGAAGTGACTTGCAAACGAATACTTGTATCTTTATGAAAGATAGTGGAACTTGATCAAGTTGGTCAAGAATTGCGTATTCTCAAGAATTGAGACAAATCAATATAAAAATACCTTGTGTTCTTTGTTTTATTTCATTTGCACTCTTTTGGTTTTGTGTAACTACTTCAGTATTTCAAAGAATTGTTGAGTTTTTGATAAACATTATTCAAGCCCCATTTTAGTGTCTTTCTTTTCACCACAAATAAAACATTCATTGGTTTCAAAATCCAACTAATATATTCATAACTAGAAATGAAATTTCATGTATTCATGAAAAAGTATTATTTTTTATTTTTAAATCTTAACAATTGATATCCTTTCAAAAACAATAATTTTTTCTACATTTAAATTGAATTGAGAGTGAATTCTTTCAATTTCTTATTTGATTTATATATACTAAATGACATTGACAAAGTTGCAACTTACTTAACTGCTCACAAAGGAATTATGGAGAGAGAGAGAAAATCCACAAATGCTTGAGAGATGTATGATTGATGACATTAACAAAACTTTCTTGAATTTGTTCAAAGAATAAATTCAGAATGATAATAT